GGTTATAGCAGTGGGGTGGCAGTGGGGTCTGGGGGAAGCCAGGCCCTGAGCCCAAGCTCTGCCTGCTGAGAAGGGAGGATAGACAGGTCTGGGGTAGAGAGGGGGCTGGCTGGGTAGGCCAGAGCCAAGCAGGCAGAGCAGAATGAGGCTCAAAGCTCCGGGGCTTTACAAATGGATTTTGCTGAAATGGAAATTTCCATCCATCCCTGAAATGAGCCTTGCAGTGAGGCCAGGTCTGGTGGGGCTGTGACAGCTGGGGATGTGGACAGGGACTAAAGCCAAACTGCCGAAGCCCCTCAGATCTATCCACCCCTCCCCAGGCCACTGCACCTTTCCTCCACTCCTCTCCCCTGCTCAGGGTCCCCAGATCCTCAGGGACCGTCACACCTTGTTATGCCCTTCTCACTTTCTCCCTCAACTACTTGTGCCTCTTACACCCCTACACACCCGACATTCCCCCCACCTCTCACTTGTCCTCGCACTGCCTTTTCACCCTTCATACCCTCACACCTCCCCGCCCTCCACCTCACACACCCACACATACCTGACACTCCCCCCACCCCCCACTTGTCCTCGAACTGCCCTTTCACCCCTCACCTCCTCATCCCCCTCATACCTCCATCTTGTACCACTCCTCCAGGCACCCTCTCACACACCTGACCCTGCCCTCCTCTCCTGTTTCAGCCCCTCATACCTCACCCCTCCCCGGCTCATCTCTTTCACCCCTCACATATTTTCTCCCTCCCCTTCTCGCCCCCTTATCCACATCACACATCCCCTCCTCATATCACTTTCTGGAACCCTCTCCGGCTCTTGTCTCTCCCTCACCTCATGTCCCTACAGAGCCACGTCCCTCTCCCCCTTTTCCCCTACTTATAGCCCTCCATCAATGACCATCAGGGCCAAATGTCTCCTGGTGACCAGCTGGCCTTTAGAGTCAGACTCCTAACTCAGCCCCTACTGGCTGGGGGAGCCAGGAACTTACCTAATTTCTCAGATTCTGCTTCCTCATCTGTAGAATGGAGCCGACAGCTTCCCTTACCTCTAGGGGCTGCTGTTTGGACTAAGTGGGCCAGGCTTACAAAGCCCTTGCCCAGCACACAGGACGCGCAACATGTTCCCCAGGGGACTGCAGTTGATCTGGTTTGTTGTCACTGGGTAGTTTATTAATACTTTGTGCCAGGTTCTTAGCTGGACAGTGCTGGGTGGGAGTGTATGGGTGGAATATGTGCTAGATCTAAACAGCTGGTGAAAGTACCAAAAAATTATTCTGGGGGAGGGAGTCAAGGATGAACGTGACCTAGGAGGCCCACAGGAGTGGATAAGAGTTATTGAGATAAGCGCTAACTAAGCTACTGGGAAACCTGGGCAGCACCTGGCCTTAAGGAGGTGTCTACAAATGCCTGGCAGTAGAGGGGGGACACTGCCTCCCCAGCTCCCTCCCCAGGCAGGCTGGCCATGACCCACTTCAAGGAGCCTGTACACTCTTTCCTTCCCAGGCCACAGCTACTGGGGGACACCATGCTCCGTCCATGGACAATGGGGTGTGGAGGCTGGGGGGAGAGTGCTGCCTTCCTGTCACCCAAAACGCTCTTATAGGAGTTGGAGAGGAAGAGGACAGGGGACTGGGTGGGAAGTGATGTTCCGGGGGGGGCATCACTGGCCCCCTGCTGGGTGGGTGGGGTGAGTGGGAGAAATGCCAGTGGAAGGGGATAGAGTATAGAAGCCAAGTGAGGGAGGCAGGAGAGATGTAGGACTTGACTTGCTGTGGGTTTCTTTGGGGGACTTTTTGTTCCAAGGACTCAAGCCCTGGGTGAAGATGGGGAACAGGCCTGGCCCCTCGGGAAGTTGTGCTGCAGGGAATGGGTGCCTTCTGCCCAGTGGAGCAGGCTGGGGACAAGGAGCCCGGGCAGGACTGAGTGGGGAAGGTCCTGAGGACGGAATGAATGGGGACCACCTGTCAGAGAGCCGACTACAGGACTCGGTGTGAACCTGGCAGGGGAATCTGGTGGGAGGGGGCATCTGGAGTCACGAAGGGGCATGTGTGAGGGAGCCCCAGCTCACCGTCCTCAGGGCCGAGCCCACAGAGTGCAGCCACGTGCCCTCATCCTCTAATTACATGTTGACTTATTACTCATTAATAATTAAACAGGAACTTCCTCCTGCCCCAGCCCCAAGTGCAGGCACCAGGCTCAGAGCCCTGGCTGAGCCTGGCCACTGGGTCCAGAGAAACAGGTGGGGGTGGGGTGGAGGTGGCAGATGAAACATACACAGGAGCTGTCATTGAGTGTCCACTCTGATGAGAAGTGACCCTGGGTCTGAGGCCGGGGGACAGGGAAATGAAGTTTCCCCAGGGAGGGCCAAAGGACAGGGCCAAGGAGCCTGGACATAGGGAGCTGAGGAAAGGGTGGAAATAGTCCAGGCTAGAGGAGGTGTGAGAGGCCAGGGTTGGGCGGTGTCTCCAGTAATGGCAGCAAGGTGCAGAGCAAGTGCCTACACCAGAAGGGCTGCCTGTGAGCTGGGGGACTGCGTGTCCCAGCTCTGCACTAACGGGCTTGCTTCTCCGAAATTGGGTCTGTGTCGTCATGAACACCCAGCACTTCAAAGCAGGGAAGGAATCATGGGAGATTAAATTACCTTTCAAGTCTAAAGTCTGGATTCCTCCAGGCCTGGCAGGTAGGCGTGTGCACACATTCCCCCAGAGCATTGTGGGATGTTGGCTGTCACTAGGGAGCCACGTGGCTCGCTCCAGCTCCTTCAGTCCCAGTTTTCTTTCTACAGGCAAGGAAAAAGAGGGGCCTCTCCCCTTGGGGATAGGCAGAGTCAGGGGAGGGAGGAAACAGCTAGCTGGGCCCCAGTCTGCAGCCCCTCAGACTGGACTGGGAAGCCTTGGTTACAACCCTGATTCTGCCATGTCCCAGCCACATGTGACACAAAGCAACCTCCTTGGCTTCCTCATCTAAAAGGAAGATAACAATGATAGCAGCATGAGCTATCTGCCAGGCACTATGCTAAGCACTTTATTTTTTTATATCCTCGCACAGCCCTATGTGGTTAATACTGTCAATCTCCCCATTTTACAGATGAGAAAATGGGCTCAGGAAGGTTAGGTGATTTTCCTACAGTCACACAGCTGGTAGGTGACCATGTTGAGACTGACCCCAGAGCTTGACTCTGACCGATGTATGTATGGTCTTAGTGTCGCTGTGAGTAATAAAGGGATAAGGCACATAAAGAAGTATTTAGCCCTGTGCCTGGCACACAGTGAGTGTTCAAGAAATAGTAAGTGCTCATGTTGTTACTATTTGTTCATCTGTGCAGAGTTTTCATTTTATGCTGCTCAGGCGGCAGAGGACAGAGAATCTAGTCGCTGGGCCCAGTGGGGGCTGGGAAGGCACATTCAGGGAGGCTGTGGGTACAGGGGCAGGTGGGCTGAGGTGGGAAGGGGAGCTAGATGCAGAAAGCAGGGGAGGGTGGGTAAGCAGAGTAGACACAGAAGTGAGTGGCTGTATTTACTTAAAGATTTTGCTCCAGTGATCACCTCATTGGCCAGACATCTGGTTTACCCAGGCATCCCTAGGGAATTGGAGTCAGACAGCATGACTTCAGCGGCTCTAATGCCATCCACCCTGGGCTTGCCTGCATTCGCTGGCGTTGACTCCTGGGGCTCAGAGCAGCAGGTCTGCCCCTGGAGTTCACTGGGAGGGAGTGGGAGTCCCTTCTGGCTGCTGGCCACTCTTCTCCCACCTGCTCAGAGCTAGAAACAGTGGGGTTGGACTCCCCCACACAGTTCACCTCCTCATCTCCATCTTCCCTTCCAGGTAAGGGGGCGGGAGATTGGGAAGAGCTGAAGAGGGCGCTGAGTAGAGACCCTCTATGCCCGTCCCCTCCGTCGTCACCCAGAAAAAAGATCCAAGGGAGGGCAGCCCCTCAGGCAGCTGCCTGGAGCACCAATCTATAAGGGGCACTAAAGCTTCGCTTGTCACTTAACGAGTTGGAAATAAAAGTATTTACCAGGCACAAGCCTGGGGTGAGATGGGGGTTGGCAGGAACACCTCCATAAGATGCTGGTACAGAGGTGAGATCCCCATGGAGCACTCAGGCTACAATTGTTTATTAAACTCCTTTGGAGGAGGGGGGCCTGGAGAACCAGACAATTTTGGTGTATGTAGCTCAGTGGAACTCACTGGTGAGGTTAGGGCCAGAGCCAATTTGTTCAAGCTGATGGAGGAGAGGCTGAGGGCTGCAGCCAGGGAGACCCCCCTTCCTATCACACTCCAAATAAATATTGAACAAATGCTGGAAGAATGTTGGTTTGAAGAGGCACCAAATTATGAGCCTGCCCTTGGCTTTCTCATTTTTCAGTCCAGCCCTGTTGCAAAAATACACTAATAATGATTTTAATGATTCCCTTCTTGTCTTGGGCCATGAGTGCCTCCTGTTCATTCATTTATTCATTCTTTCATTCACTCATTCAACAGCTACTCCTAAGCACCTACTGTGTGCCAGGCACTGTCCCAGGCACATATCACTGAGGATATGACAGTAAACTGCTTCCTTTCTCCCATTGCTCAGCACCCCATGTTCGATTGAACCAGCAGAGATCTAGGGTTTTTTGTGTGTCTAGATGGAATTGAGGTGGGGGTGGGAGTGGGGACCCTGTCCCCAGCTGAAAACCCATCTCCTTGGATTACAAGGAACCATGTAGAGGTATCTTTTTTATGCCTGTTCATAGCCCAGCACCAGCTCTTCCTGCCCTCAAGAACTGGAGTGTGCTTATAAATTCATGCCGTTTCCAGGAGAGTGTGTGCGTGTGAGTGTGTGTGTGTGTGTGTGTGTGTGTGTGTGTGTTTCTTCCTGAGCAGAGCTCCAGACTGGGCAGCTGGGGTGGGGGCGGGGGTGGCAGAGGGGAACAGCGAGGATGCCAGGCTCCTCCTCCAACTCCTACTGTAGGCCTCTCCGCTTAGGGTGTGGGCGGAGGATGCCTACAGGAATCTTGAACCCAAACAGTAGACTCAGTCTTCCGTGGTTTCGCTCAGTCACCTGAGGAGGGGACCTGCAGGAAGGCCAAGAGGCAGGAAGGACCCTGAGGCCTGAAAGTCATCCTGAGAAATGCCAGACATTCGAAGAGCACGTGCTCCCCTCCCCTGCCACTACCAGAGACTACTTGCTTAGCTTGCGCTTCTGGGCATTATTCCAATATTGAAAGGTACGAAGGGGCCCCAGTCCTGACAGCCCTGACCGCACCCTGCCCCGACCCTCGCCCCCACCCCACCTCCCCACTTTACATGGCTTTAGGGAAGAGGAGGAGGAAAGCCCTGAAGGCAGGTCTTCTCCTACTCTAGGCTGCAGCCCTCTCCTGGACCCTCCAGAAAGTCAGAGATCAATGATAATGCTCACTGAGACTGAGGAAATCCCCCCCCCACCTCATCCTGGATCCTGGGACATTGATGGCCACATCAGAGGAAGGCTGTGGCAGGCAGGGATGTATGTGGGGGAAACTGGGGGCTGGGTCTCACGTGCTGAGAAGGGGGGCTGTGTCTGCACAGGCATCCCCCACACACACTGTCTGACAGAATGAGTTGCGTCCTTGCCATGTCTATTTTTAGTCAAAACTGGAAGGAAAAGAAGTTGGGGGCCAAGCCACCAGCCCCAGCTCCCGCTGCCAGCACCCACACCACGTGGAGGGGAGGGTGCAGGAGGAACCCCAAGTCCCCGTTCCTCAGGAAGGCGAGACAGTGCTCCCTCCCACTTGGCAGCCTAAGTGCTGGGTCTGATGGCTGTGATGAGGGGACATCCTCTGGATTGGGAGCTGGGGGTGGGGTGCTGCCTCCTTTCCCTGCCTGAGCACGCGGCTCTGCACTAGATCTCTTTGGCAAAGAAGGAAAAGGTGAAAAAGGAGAAAGACCCAGTTTGGTCTCCTGAAAATAGAACTTAGGTAGCTCTGAGCTTTCTTTTGTGGGCTCTTTGAGGGGAGCCCCCCACTTCCCCTTAAAGGTTTAAACATCCTGACCTCTATTACAAGGTGTTTGGGGCTGGCTCTTCCTCAGTGGGAGACTTGTGTGAGGCATGAGCCCATAGACTCTCCTCCACCCACGCCAACAGCAAAGCTAGGGGTACAGAGGGAAGAGCTTTTCAGTGTCCCTAGGTCCTCAGCGGGAGAACTCCCTGGCTGAAGCCCCACAGCTGCCACGGTCATTACTTTGGGTCAGGGAAAGACAATTCAAGTGGCAGGAGAGTATAGTTAGAGCTTGGACTCTCCAGTCAAACAGACCTGGATTCAAATTCTGACTCCTCTCCCTACTAGCTGTGTAACATTGAGCAAGTAGCTAAACCTCTCTGAATTTCTGTTTTCTCATCTATAAAATAGGGATAATCATAGTACCTGTCCCCATAGGATTGCTGAAGATTAAATGAGATAATATGAGGAATATGCATACAGCGTGCGCAACTGTTAGTTGATGACATTTAAAAAGCAGATTCAGCCCAATCCTGGGCCTAAACCCGACAGTGTGGTTGATCTCAGGCCCATTTTGCAGAGATTTGCTCTCAGATCTGAGTGACTTTCTCACCCCATTACTGACCCCAAAGCCCCAAGCCTCTGACTCCCAAGCAAAAGGCAGACAGAGCTGGAAAAATTGTTCCCTTCAGCCACCAGCTACAGTCCCAAGGCCTCCCCCGCCCCCATCTCCCACCTTTGCCCTCCAGCCCAAGCTGGCTACACACCTAAAATCCTGGTGGAGGAATGGCCTGAGGCACCTTTTCAAGGGTGGGGTGGGTAGAAACGTGGAGGAAAAGTCAGGTGAGACTGTCACAGGGGAGAGGGCAGAAATGAGAGTGAAGACATACTGCACAAATACATTTTGTAAGAGTTTCTGTGGGTTGTAAAAACTTCGGAGGAACAGCTGGGTTAGATACACAGACCAGCTTCAGGGGCGTCCAGGAACCTCCGAAAGGTGTATTCCAAGAGAGGATCTGGGACATTCTCCAAGGGATCTAGGGCCCCAAATCATTCAAGGACCACTGTGGCCTCTGGTCTGGAAGTCAGAAGATCTGGGCCTTAGATCTTGTCTGCCTCTCACTCCTCGGGCAGCAAACTTCCTCCTCAGTTTCCCCACCTGCTCCATGAGGTATAAGACCAACTGAGGTCCATGGTCCAGGTGGGGCATCCTCAGGTTCTGTGAAGGCTGGTGAGAAGTGATGGAAAAGATAACAAGAACTGGTGCTTGGGAGGTGGGTTCCCAGGAAAGTGGGAGGGGGCTTATCCCATCCCCTTCCCAGGAGCCGACTTGGTCCATCAGCCAACATGTCAGCCAGCCAGCCGACGGAAACTGAGCTGCATCCCTCCACCAACCCGGGAGGCTGTTGCTATGGCAACTTCATATTTATCCACTTTAGCTCCTAATTAAGGGGAAAAGCATATAACATATTGGATGTCAAGGAGGCTTTGTGAGCCTCAATTTAGTGGCCGTGCCTGGATGTCAAACTCAAGCGTGATTGCTGTTAATCACCTTCCAAATTACCAAGATAGGTCACAAAGGGAAAGGTCCTTCAGCTGTCGGGGCAGCTGGGCCCAGAGGAGATGAAGTGATGGTGAGGACAGGAAAAGGGATCTGCTCAGCATCATGACCTGGGGGGCTGCTGGGTGAATGCCAACTCTGTGGGTGTCCGATTATAAAGTTTGTGGGGACAGTGGCTAGGTCTGTTCCCACTGACCCTAGGTAAGGGATTTCCACCCTAGAGACTCACAAATCAAGGCCCTTGGACAGTAGAGAAGGACTGACCGATGGATGAACTAAGAAGCATGTAAGGACCATCTGGTGGCCTCTGACGTCAGAAGGAAGATTGATAGATAACTAGGGCTGGTAAAAGTGCAGGCTGACCTGATAGCTGGATGCATGGATGACGGCCATGTGGTAAATGGAAGATCCGATGGGGGTCTGCTTAGGAGGGACTGGCAGGGTAGCTGGATTCAATAGTGCATCTGTGATCTCTCAAGGGACTGCCTGGCCTCTTACTCCAACTCCGACCCAGGGCATTCTCAGACACCCGTTAGAGCAAGCCCTGCTGTGGTGCTTCTTGCCTGCCATTGGAGCTGTGGCCAGAGCCACATTCCTGGGAGAAGCCTCACAGGTCCCCGGGGATGTGGGAGGTGGGGCGGGGAGGCTAATAGAGCATAAGGTTAGGAGCAGGGGCACTGAAGGGAGGACGTCAGCAGAGTGGCTAAGAGCATGAGTTACGGGGTCAGGCACACCTCGGGTAGAGTTCCATCTTAGCTAGTTCCAGCTGTGTGCCTTTGATCAAGTTACCGTACCTCTCTATGCTTTGGTTTTCTCATCTGTCAGGTGGGGGTGATGACAATACGTACCTCACAGGGCCTTGTGAGGCTGTCACAAAATGAGAAATGTAAGGAGCTTTGCATGGTGCCTGGCACATGGTAAGCCCTCAGTAGCTATTTAGACATTATTATCAAAAGAGGTCGGCCTGGAAAGGAGGGGCAGGAACCTGGAATCTGAGGGCTGGGCCTGGGGCAGGTGAAGACACACTGCCCCTCTGACCCCTGTTAGTCAAAGTTCCGAGAGAAAGAAGTCCCAGAAGGGAACCCTGATGAAGGCTGGGAGCTGAGCAAGGGTGTGGGTACAAGTGGAACCTGCTGGGCCTGTTGTGGCTTGGTTTTCAGCCTCTGAGGGGGCAATGGGGAAGGTCTTGTATGCAAAGTCTTGATGTCACCGAAGGGCCAGAAAGGATCTTAGTGGAGCCTGAATCTGGGAGATCATTAGAACTACCTGCAATGATGCCACAAGATCTACTGTCTGGGTGAAAAGTCTCAGGGGTGGGGCCTGGGAAATAGGTTTTAAAACACTCCCCCGAGGGTCTGATCATCAGCCAAGTCTGGGACTTACCTGGTCGAAACCAGAGGCCACTGTGGGCCAGAGGTAGGAAGAGCTGGAAGAAGGGGTAAACAAATAGACCCCACCATTTAACCTTTTATATAATATCAGGGTTCTGCTTGAAAATTGTACTTGAAAAGAAAAAAAATTCTATAGCTAAAAAGTTTGAAAGATGTCTATTATGGTAATAATAACTACAGCTAACATGTATTGATTGTTTACTGTGAGCTTGGCGCTATGCTAAGTGCTTCGCATGGATTGTCTGTCTCTTCATCCTCTCAGTTGGTGCTGAGGTAGGAAAACCCATTTAAACAGAAGAGGAAACTGAGGTTCGGTGATATCAAAGGTCACATTGTTTGTGAGTGGTGGATCCAGGATTCAAACCTAGGCAGCCTGAATCCACGGCTGGGCTATCTTCTCTTTCCACAGTTGGGAAAACAGGAAGTGAAAGTGGCTTTCCCAAGGTCACACAGCAAGTTGGCAGCAGGGGAGGGGTTAGAACCCAGGAGCTCTTCTTTTCTTCTTGCTCCCCATCCCCACCTTTCAGATGCATTTTGTAGAGCAAAGTTTGGACAGGTCAGCCTGAGAGAAAGGATCTCAACTCTGTCCCCCCACTACAGGCAGAGTCCTGGAAAGAGCCCATGGAGTGAAAGAAGGTTGGAAGATTCCTGACTTGGAAGGAGAAGGGGAAACTTGGGACGTGGTGACCGTGGCTGCACAGCCTTTCTGGCCTGGTAGGAGGAGTTGCTGTGGCCTGGTTTCCGCAGATGTGGGCTGCAGCCGTCCTGCTGAATGGGAGGCTATTAAGGGAAAATGCTTTGCAAGGAGCTGAGCAGCTGGGAGCGGAGATCATCAGAGCTCTTGAATGTGGGGCTTTGTCCCTTCTGGGGCCTGGTAGGCACTTGCTCCTGGGGTCTGTGTCTGGGAGACTGGCTGGTTGAGAGGCCCAGGGGAGTCAACCCCAAGAAGGCTGCATTCCCTCCGCTGCATTTCCTGTCCGTCTCTCTCCCCCAGCACGGTCCCACATCCAGGGTGGCCTGGTGGTTAATAACACAGGCTCTGGGGCCGGCCGAGTGGCGTGTTGGTTAAGAGCTGGCTTGGGACGCCAGAGGGCCCCGGTTTGGATCCCACATATGAGGGCCAGTGACACTGCCCTCCACAGCTAAGATGCTGAACAACAGCTCAACCTGGAGCTGGGCTGCTGTGAGTCGCCGGCGACGGCGTAGGCTGCAGCCCCTGCTGCAGTGGGTTGCCATGGGCTACCGTGTGTAGCCAGCAGCCAGCGTGAGCGGCCAGCAGCCGCAGTGAGCGGCCGTCCAGAAGCCGGCGACTGATCTGCCTCGCCCGGGAAGAGCGCAATGATGGTGCCAACTTGGGCCAGTGAAGCAACGTCCTCCACAACCAGACTGAAGAACAAAAGGACAGCAACTTGTCTGTTCCCCTTCCCCCAATTCCCCAGCACTGTTCCCATCCCCCCAATTCCCCAATAAAAATCTTTAAAAAATAATAAAAATAAAAATAACCCAGGCTCTGAGGACCAGTTTACATCAGAGTTTACGATCTATCAGAGTCTCTGATATAAACTCTGTAGATGTGAACATTTGGGTGTGTTACTGAGAATCTCAGTGCCTCAGTTTCCTCACTTGTAAAATGGAACGAAGAAGAGTATCTTCTTATGTTGTTAGGAATATTGACAAGAAGATGGAGTTCAGCTTCGGTCGTGCTGGCTCTTGTAGATACCCCCTCCAGCCGAGGAGTGGTTCTTCTTGGTTTCTGTCCACCCCAGGCCCTCCCAGAGTGTAAATTCTTCTCTGGGTCTCACTTTCCCTCCTCCCTGCAACAACCAGACAGGAGTTCAGGATCGGTCTCCTTGTTGAGACAGGAGTTGTCTACGGAGAGAGGAGGAAGCATCGGGCCAGGTCCGATATCCGAAGGAAGAGCTCTGAGGACAGAGTGCAAACCGCAGCCTGTGTGATACATGATCTCCTACGGCTCCACATTCACTCTGGACATTCTCAAAGCCCGAAATCTACTTGTTCTCTCTTACCCAGGTTGCGGCAGCTGTTTCCTCTGCCTGGAACACTCTTTCTCCCCTTTCTCTGGCTAACTCCTACCGTCCTCCAAAAGTTAGTTTAGATAATACCCCCCTCCCTCCAGGAAGATGTCCCTTAGGCCAGGAGGTCCTCCTGTGTGTCCCCCACTCTAGTGCTGACAAGCATCCAGTCCTCTCCCCTCTAGACCATGAACTCCATTAGGGTAGGGACCTGTTTACTTTTCTCCCAGCCTGACCCAGAGTAGTCAATCTACAAATATTTGTTAGTTGAAGATGGGAATGAGTGAGTGAACGAATGAATGAATGATTCCCTTTCCCAGGCTAGGGGAAGGAAGAAAGGAGAACATCTGGTGGGGTGAAGAGAAAGGGGAGTGGGTGCTTCAGACAGGACTATAAACATTTTAAGTTTGGAATCTCCCCAAGGAGATGGACCCAAGCTGACCTTCTCTCTTGGGACCCCATCTTGAAGTTAGGCCACGAGTATCTGTAGCCATATCACTGGTATAGCTAGTGTTTACTGCAGACCTACTATGTGTCAGCTACTATGCTCAACTGCTATGCTCAGCACACACATTTATCGTGTGCTACCTCATGGAATTCTTAAAGCAACTCTGTGAGACAGGTACCATAATTATCTTCATTTTACAAAATAGAAAACTGAGGTTCAGAGAAGTGAAGACATCATAGCCCAAGGTCACACAGTTAGCAAATGGTGGGGCTGAAAATGTGGTCAGTGCCCAGGTATTCTGTTTGATCCTGGAGCTGGAGCTCTTAACCATTTGGCCATCTTGCCTCCCCTGCAGGATGGAGCAGAAGTCACTGTCTCACCTCCCAGGAAGTGAAAGTTGCTGGGAAACAAAGCTGGCGAAAGTTCAGAACAAGTGTTCAGTTCGTGTTTGGTGAGCAACCACGGTGTACTGGGCCCAGCAGGAAGTGCAGAACTGGCGGCCAGCCTGGCCAGCCAGCTCTCCATCTGAGCAGACAGACAGACAGACCCCGGAAGAGGAGTGGGTGATGACAGCGGGCTGGGGGGCTGCCAGCCCATGCGGTGGCAACGGCTGGCGCTCCTCGCCGGGTGGCTCGAGGGTGGACGGTGGTGGGCCCCAGGAACAGGGCGGGTACACAGAGTTGCTCTTGGAGGGGCTGCTTAGAAGGCTTTGCACATTGGAGGCTTAATCTCTCAGCAATTGCTGAGCTCAGACGGTGCCTCCTTGGCACTCCAGCCACTAACAGGGATGACTTCTATGCCCATCCCCAGAGAGGAAGTTTTCCTGCTTCTTAGGGCTCAGCAGAACACTCTAACTTGCTCGTTCTCTCCCAGTGGCTGCAGGGTTCCCAGCTTTCAGAGTGCTCTTTTCTCCTGACAGATGTAAACGTCATCCTTTTAGCGAAGCACAGAGCCCCTCAGTCTGTGGGAGACCCTGAGGGCTGCTATCCCTGCTTGTCTACCAGGCTGAAAGCAGGCAGCCCATTAGGCTCAGCCTTTGGTCATATAGAAATTACCCAGCAAGGTGTGAGGAGAGGCAGTGGTGGGGCTGCTCTGCAGACTGCTCACTTCTCACCATTCCTCAAGAGATGTATGGCTCCTCAGCTGAGGGGCCTGTCACACCCCTGCCTGTGTCCTGGTGTCATTGGCTGGTTTTGGAGAGCTGAACACAGCAGGTGAGGCCCCGACTCCTGCACTCGAAGCTGGGACCTTGAGCACTCAAAAATGGGAAGCACCACCCCAAAGTTCCCATGGCTTGGTGGCAATCAAGAGGTGGCAATCCTCTAACCCATGTTCAACCTTGTCCAGGTGCCATGGGACCAAGCCAGGGGCCGGGCATAGTGCCAGCGTGAGGGACTGGCCTCACTTGCAGTTAGGAGATTAACTTGGGTTGTAGAAATGGTTGGGTCAGGTGAGAAGTAAGAATTGGAAAGGAAGTTGGGGGTGGATTTCCAGCTGAGATGGATATTAGACTAAGGATGGAGGTAGGGATAGGTCGAGATTAGAGATAGGTTGGGGTTGGCATTGGAAATGGGATTAGGATTATTATTGCTATTAGGGTGAGAATTTGGGGTGGATTTTGGCTTGATATGGGTATCAGGGACAGGACTGGGGGTGAAGTTGTAGTTGGGATGAAGGTTGGAGTTAGGGTTGGAGATGAGGTGAGGGCCAATAGGGTTATGGATGAAGTGTAGGTTTGCTGTTGGTGTGTGGGTGGGGGTCAGAATGAGATGATACTTGGCTCAGAATTAGACCAGGAAGTGACTGGGAAATGGTAGGAGACAAGTTTTCTCTTCACTCACCAGAGTGTGCCCTTTCAGAGCAGGGGGAAAACCCAAAGTGGGTAGGTAACCTAGAAAAGTTACCTACCATCAACCACCTGTCTCATCCATTTATCTCCACCTTCTCACATGTACCCCCCATCTCCTTCACCTTCTATCTCTTGCTCTTGGGCAATGCTCACATGTCGTCTCCTTCCTGATCACAGCAGATATGACTGAGACCCGCCCGCACTGTGTCCTTTTCCTGGCAGCTGCTTTATTGCAGAGTCCTCCGGGCTGGAGAACTGAGCTAGATGCAAGGCATTCTGGGTAGGGCTCCATCAGCTGAGCCCTCATCCTAGGGGTGAGTGGGGACAGGGAGAGACCCCTCCCATTCCTTCCTGGCCCTTGCCAGGGCCCTGACTTCTCTCCTCCTTTCTGCAGAGGCCCCAGCCCCTGCATGCCCCGTCTCGCTTCTCAGGGTGACAACCTGACATCCTCCACCACTCAACGCTGAGGTCAGGCTTTTAAAGCTGTCATTGGGAAGACCGTGGCCCCTCTCTCACTCATTCCATTGCCCCATTGTCCCTTCATGCAGAAACACGCATCAGGGCATGAAGCAGAGGACAACTGTGATGCCTTTTAAATGCAGGCAATTAGTGGCTAAATAAAATATAGAACAAGCATCTCTGCCTGCCTCTGGCAGGGACTTACTGAAGGCTGCCGAGCTGAGGGATCCTGGGAATAGGTTAGGGGAACAGAAGATGGTGGTCTGAATCATCTGGCCTGGAGCCTCTTGCTGGGACAGGGTCGCAGAGAAGAGGGGCTTATGGACTCCTAACATACTCCTCAGCCTTGTTAGAGTGTTGGGGATGCAGAGAAGCTGTGGGTGTCTTGAGGGAGCCCAGCGAGAGTCCTGCAGAATAGTGAGAAGCAGAGGAGAGTAGCTTCGAAACATGACACCCTGGATTTGCACCCCGGCTCTGCCATTTCCCTGCTGTATGACTTGGGCAGGTGCGCACCCTTTCTAAGCCTCACTTGCCTTGGCTATAAAATGCAGATGTTAATAGTCGTACCAATCTCTTAGCGATGTTGCTAGATATAAATGAGGTAATAAGTGTTCCACACCCCTCAAAAAGGCCTTCCAGAACGGAGTGAGGCTGAGGCCTGGAAGGGGCAGAGATGTTGCTGAGAGGGGCTGCATGCATGAGAGGACAGGGCCTGGAGGGGAGCTGCGAGTCCAGGGGAAGCTGAGCAGACCCCACTCCTGGGCCGGGGGCTCCCTCCTCACTGGTGCCCCCTCTTGGGTGTTCCAGAGAGAAACAGGTGATTAGACTCTGACCATTAGTTGATGAAAGAGAAAGAATTTAGAGACTCTGGGAGTCAGTTCCCTATCCAATCGTCCTCCCTGTTACCCTCCTACCTGGATGCCACACATAGATAACCACCTTGGACGACTGACTGGATGTCCTGGAGCCTCAGTTTCCCTTTTATGTTCCTTGACCCCAGAGAGCCCTGAACAAATATACATCTTTGCAGACCTCTGGTGCCTTCTTTTCTTCTCCCATCAGTCTCTCCTGTACTGCTCCCATGCTAAGCAGGACCCTCTCAGGGGTGCTTCTCAGGAGAGGGGGCAGAGGTCATGAAGCAACTCAGCAGATGGCAGCTGGGGGGACAGAGAGGCTATGCCAGAAGCTGGGGTGGCCAGTCACTTGCCTCCTGCTCCCACACGGACTCCCATCCTGAAACTCCAGCTCAGCCCTTTTCTTTAAATAAAAGCAATGACGTCATCCTCCTGCTTAGCCGCTGAGCTAGAGGGAAGTGATCTGAGATACTGTGGAGGAAAAGCAAGAGATGCTGGGGCTGAGGGTTGGGAAGCCAAGGGGCAGACAAAGGACAAGTCTCCCCTGGGAACATGTGCGTGTGTGTTTGTCTGTCTGTCTCCTGGGGTCCACCCATGTGTATATGCTGGGAAAACTGCAGAATCACAAAATGTTGGAACAGAGGTGGAACTTTCTGGCACTGCTAGGAAAGCAGGGGCTCATAGCTAATGTGGTCACGTTAGACAGATGTAGACAAGGCCCTTTATGTTTCTGAGTCTCAGTTTCCTGATCTGTAAAATGGGAATGACAGTGGTGTCAACCTTTTTGCGTGAAAGGATTAAAAGAGATAATTCATATAAGTACCTGGCACCTAGTAGGTGCTCAAATAAATGGTGGCTTCTGTGAAAAATGATTGGGCAGGAGCAATGCTGGTAGCAAAAGAGCTCTGAGCTGGCGTCAGGAGGCCCCCGCTGGGATCAGTCCACCTCTGCCTGACAGGAGTCTGGGCTCGGCCAGGTCAGGGCGTGGGCCTTCTTGTTTCGCCAGGCTCACCTGCCAGTAGCTCCCCTCTGGTTCTGGGGGGGTCAGGAACTGTCTCTGCCCTCCCCTCCAGGTGCAGCCCTGCATCCTTCTCCAGAAGCCCTGGGGTTCAGTTTCCCCTGAGCAGCTCTGAGGCTTCCCCTCAGGGGTTTGCTGGACTCCTGACAGCTCCCTCCTTCCTGAGCGCTCACTCCTGGGAGACAGCTCTTGTTCTCTCAGGGCTCCTTTTATTCTCCCTCCCCCACTCTCACAAGCACCTTGCCTTCCGTTTGCTCATCTCTGCCTCCTTTTCTCTGGGTTCCCTCCTCAGTCCCTCTCCCTTTCTCTCTTCCTGTTTCTCCCTCTCCTTGTCCCTGTCTCTGATGTCTGCTTCCATTCAGTCTCTGTCCCTGCCTTTCCTTCCCTGTTTTTCTTTCTCTGATATAAACTCGCTGGCTGCCTCTGTCTACTAGTCTCTGTGTCTTTCTCCATCTCACACACTGGTTTTTTTTGCTCCCTGAAAGGCGAGTCCCAGCCTTGAGCACAGGCCTGAGAGACCAGGTCCAGGCCAGTTATCCAGGAAGGAAGGCTCTTCCAGCCCTTCCTGCTGCCGTGTGGGGGTAGCCCTGGCTCCCTGTGCTTCCTGAGCACGGGTGTATGTGGGCTGAGGGCAGAAGGCCCATCTTGCCTGTCATCTGGAGAGACGTGTGTGCGAAATGTTAGCGCTGTGGCTCTGATTCAGCTCCCGGTGGCTGGCGAGGGAACACGATGACGGAAGGGGGTGATAGGGACTCAGAGGAGGGAGCTGGGCTGGCGACGGAGTCCTGGGACCTGGGCAGAGGACCTGGGGCTGCCGAGAGAGAACACGCGGCGGGATAGCGGAGGGCTTGGATGGGGTTGTGACACCACTGGATGTGGATGGGATGGGGTGAAAGTGAAGGGGGTTCAGAGAAGGGCTGCTATGGGAGAAGGGAGCTTGGGTGTAATGAAGGGGACCCTGGGTGTGTGGAAGGGACCTGGGGCACAGTGATGGGACATGGGGTGAGAGATGGGGAATGTGGATGAAGAGAGTAGAGGATGGGTAGAAGGAGGGGTTACTTAAAGTATAGAAGCATGGATGTGGTGAAAGGCTGTGAGAGGGGTTCCTTGGGTGTCCCCTTGGCTTGCTCCTCACCTGTCTCCCTACCTGTATCTCATGCCAGGCCTCCCTACTCCCGTTTCTCACGGTGCTGCTTCCAGCCCTCACCTCTCGGGCCCTCAGCTTCCCCATCTCTTCTTTCCCCCCCCCCCCGCACTTTTGAGCTGCTAAT